AATCTGTAAAAAGCAACAGAGGGTCCTGTGGCACCTTTAAGACTAAGGGTACATCTACACTTACCGGAGGGTCCGGCGGCAGGCAATCGATGTTCCGGGATCGACTTATCGCGTCTAGTGAAGACGCGATAAAATCGATCCCTGATCGCTCTGCCGTCGACTCCGGAAATCCACCGCGGCAAGAGGCGGCAGCGGAGTCGGCGGCAGCACGGCAGCGGTCGACTTTCCCCCGTCCTCACAGCCAGGTAAGCCGACCTAAAATACGCAACTTCAGCTACGGTATTCACGTAGCTGAAGTTGCGTATCTTAGGTCGGACCCCCGCTGTAGTGTAGACCCAGCCTAACAGAAGTATTGGGAGCATAAGCTTTCGTGGGTAAGAACCTCACTTGCATCTGAAGAAGTGAGGTTCTTACCCACGAAAGCTTATGCTCCCAATACTTCTGTTAGTCTTAAAGGTGCCACAGGACCCTCTGTTGCTTTTGTCTGGGATGTTACCCAGAAGCATAGCATAAGTATGAAATACAGACAGTATAGAGCCAATATTCATAACTTCAACTACAAAAATGATACACACATATAGACACCATAATCATAACCAGCAAACCATAAACTTGTCTTAGATACCTTATTTGACCCCCTTTATACAAGATTTGGTGCCACTACAGGACCTTGGTTGCAACAATGATCTATATGGTCCCAGTTCATGTCAATAACGTCACAGATGGGGCGACCACATCTGCACTCAGTATTCAAGATGCGGGCATACCATGGATTTATATAGAAGCAATATGATATTTTCTGTCTTATTATCTATCCCTTTCTTAATGATTCCCAACATTGTGTTCACTTTTTGGACTGCCGCTGCACATTGAGTGGATGTTTTCAGAGAACTATCCACAATGACTTCAAGATCTCTTTCTTGAGTGGTAACAGCTAATTTAGACTACATTATTTTATACATATAGTTGGAATTATGTTTTCCAATGTGCACTACTTTGCATTTATCAACATTGAATTTCATCTGCCATTTTGTTGCCCAGTCCCCCAGTTTTGTGAGATCCTTTTCTAGCTCTTCGCAGTCTGCTTAGTAGTTTTGTATCATCTGCCAGTTTTGCCACCTCACTGTTTACCCCTTTTTCCAGATCATTGATGACTATGTTAAATAGGACTGGGCCCAGTACAGACCCCTGGGGGACACCATTTACCTCTCTCCATCCTGAAAACTGACCATTTATTCCTACCTTTTGTTTCCTATCTTTTAACTAGTTAACAGTCCATGAGAGGACCTTCCCTCTTATCCCAAGGCCGCTTATTTTGCTTAAGAGCCTTTGGTGAGAGACCTTGTCAAAGGCTTTCTGAAAGTACATTATATCCACTGGATCCCCCTTGTCCACATGCTTGTTGACCCCCTCAAAGAATTCTAGTAGATTGGTGAGGCATTCCCTCACCAATGGTTTACAAAAGGGAACCATGTTGACTTTTCCCCAACAAATTATGTTCATCCATATGTCTGACAATGTTGTTCTTTACTGTAGTTTCAATCCGTTTGTTCAGTACTGAAGTCAGGCTTACTGGTTTGTAATTGCTGGGATCACCTCTGGAGCCATTTTTAAAAATTGGAGTCATATTAGTTATCCTCCAGTTATTTGGTACAGAAGCTGATTTAAATGATAGTTTACTGTCACGGGGCGGGACTTACCCCTGCGGCGCCTCCTGCTGGTCACCCAGGGAATTAGCATTTCCAGCCTCCGGAACACCCTCTGCAGGCCGGTGTCCCGCTTGCCGCTGGGCCTGAGTCCCTCCTGGACCCTGGTGTCCCTTTCAGGCCGGGGTGCTGCCACTGGCAGAACCCCCCACAGATCTGGGTCTCCCCTCCCCAGGGAACCCCCACCCTCTATCCCCACCTCACCTCAGTAAAAGGCTGCTGCCAGTCACCATCTAGTCCCTGCTCACTGGGGCGGACTGCAGTGTAAAAGCCACTCATCATAGGCAAGGGGGGTTTGGACTTGCTGCTTCTGCCTACCCTTGGGCTGCCTTCTGCAACCCAAGTACCTTCTTTGGCCTTTAACAAGGCCTGCAGCCTGGGGGGTTTCTAGGCCGGAGCTCCCCAGCTCCTGAGGCCTTCCCCCAGCCCTGCCCCACAGTACCTTTCTTTGGCCTTTAACACTACAGTTACAAACTACAGTTAGTAGTTCTGCAATTTCACATTTGCGTTCCTTCAGAACTCTTGGGTGAATACCATCTGGTCCTGGTGACTTATTTATGTTTAGTTTATCAATTTGTTCCAAAACCTCCTCTAATGACACCTCAATCTGGGACAGTTCCTCAGATTTGTCACCTAAAAAGACTGGCTCAGGTTTGGGAATCTCCCTAACATCCTCAGCCATGAAGACCAATACAAAGAATTACGGTAATTTAGTTTCTTCACAATGGCCTTATCGTCCTTGAGTGCTTCTTTAGCATCTCGATCATCCAGTGGTCCCACTGGTTGTTTAGCAGGCTTCCTGCTTATGATGTACTTAAAAAACATTTTGCTACTACTTTTTGAGTCTTTGGCTAATTGCCTAATATTTATTGAACACTATTGCCTTTTCTGAATTATTATTGATA